TCGGCGGGGACAAGAGTCACGTCAAGTGGTCGCCGCCGTATCTGGAGTGCGAGGACGGGAGTTACAGACCCGGGTGGCTGGTCACTCTTTCCGCCGCCTTCTACGGGTTGCAGCCTAATCTGGTCCCCGAATTCAGGTAGGGAGAGGGGAAAGGGGCGAAGGCACAGCCTCCTTCCGGCTCTGCGGGAGGTGCGCGCGTGTGGGAAGAGCGCTTCGCGGTCTGCGGCAGTTGGCTTCCTCCTTAGAGCGCAGACCCGGGGCGAGCTCAGCTCCGGGCACTCACGCAGAGCCTTTCTCAGATGAGGGCGAGGAACCGGGAGCCCTGGGCAGAGCGGAGACGCCTCCCTGCGGGTCCTGTGCTTCCCTAGGCCGACCCTGGGATGACAAGGAAGGGAGTCCCATCAGGGGTGCGCCTGCACCTGGTGAACTTGGGGCTCACCGGCCGGGCGGACCGGCCGCACCGGGTGACGGGAGAGCAGGAGGAAGAGTTTCTCGTGTCTGGCGCTTCGGGGTGGCCCCTGCCCGCCTCCTGCACGGTGTGGGGCACCAGTCTGGTGTTGGTCAACCGCCAGGGCGTCTCATGAGAGCCGTGCTCCCCTGGGCCACTCTCGCCACTCCTCAGTGAGTCACTCAAGTGCAAGCTGTCTCCGGCTCGCAGACTCGGCCGTGCGTCCTTTCCCTGGCTCCCGCTCCACCCTCCCCTCTTTGCTTCCTAAGTGTCCTCCGGCCCTTCGCACTCGCACACGCACAGAGGGACCCGGCGGAGCGGTCTCGGGGGGCGGGGGAGGCCAGTTCTAACTGCATCTGCTCGGGCAGCCGGAGGGGACCCAGCTCTGTGTGCTGCCCCGGGAGGCACGGGATGGCATCGACCAGAGCCGCGGATCCGCAGACTAGGGTTGGGGTAACGGTGTGGGGAGGAGCTTTAGAAGCAGCTGTAAGAACCCAGGCAAGGGAGAAGTAGCAAGGGGAGAGCAGAAACCTGACAGAGCTCTTAGAGAGGGCCGCAGGTTGATTGGTGTCCCCCCTGGGTCCCACAGGGGCAGTTGGGAAAGGAGGTCCAAGGGGCCGAGGCTGCTTTGCTCCTCTTGGATGGGGCAAGAGCGGGGAAACTTCGGTGAGGGCTGTTCGGTTTAGTTCCGCTCTGGCACAGCCGGGGCGGAATAGGGAACTGCTGAAAGCTGGCAGGTCAGGTGCTGGGTGGGTGAGGCTTTTTCGGTGTGGGCGATGTCAGTTGCTGTGCCCCCCCCCCCGCAGTGTGTCTGTCAAGTGACAGAACTTGTCTGTAGGACTCCAGGTGCACCACTTGGGGAGGTGTACCTGAGAAGCGACCCTCTCTGATGCTTCATGACCTCACTGTGTGTGTGGTGCTGTCTTAAACCGGTGTACTTTCTACTTTCAGGACAACCTCATTGCCTCCCGATTCCTGCAAGACCCTGTTAGTAAGAGCTGAGCCCAGCTTCGAATCTCTACCATGTTGTTTGCTCGGAGAAAGATTAGTGCATGTCATTCATTGCTACTAAACTGTGTGGCCTTTAGATGAGACTTTTCGGGGGTCTAAGGATCCCACCCATCCAGCATTTACTCGCTATCAGACTCTGCTTACTGTTTTCAATGCACTATCTTGACAAATCTTTATAATACTATTGAGTTAGATTTTATTATTTCCCCTCTTTTGCAGAAAAGGAATCTCAAGCACAGAGAGGTTAAATGTCTTGCCTAAGTTTGTACAGCAGTTAACTAGTAGAGCCAGGATATAATGCCACATCGTACTTTTCACCACCCTGCTAAACTGTTTTGTCAAAGTGGCTCGGGGTACTGCATAAACAGAAGTGTATTTTTGCTGGTGTGACGGTAAATGCCTGTGAAGCCAGCTACTGGAGCACTGAGGCAGGATGATTACAAGCTTGCAGCCAGCCGGAGCAGCATAGTGAGGCACTGTTGAAATGAAAAGTAGGAAGGGCTGGGGATACCGCTTCGTGGTGGAGTGCCCCTGCAGTCAGTCCCCAGGATAAGAAGGAGTCTGTTTTTCAGGATTATTTAGGTGGGGCTGGGGATGAAAATCATTCATGATCAGAACACTTTGTCTTAAAGATCAGAAGGCACAGGTTACAGAAGTGAAGTTGGTGCCTTCTTCCAGTCCAAGGACATGGAGTCCTGGGTTGTGAAGGGTGGCGTGCCCCCTACACTTTCTTTGATGGTGTTCCGTAAATTGCCTTTCTTGATTTTTTTAAAGAGCTTTCATAGCCCTCCGTGGTGCTCTTCAGGTGAGGCAAAAAGCCAGGCCACTTCGTGTCTGGCTCGCTACAGAAGCAGGGTGGTCTTGCCAGCTCTGCAGGAGCATAAGGAGTGTTACTGTGAGTGCTTTTGTCCCCGTCCTGTGCCCCTCCAGTACTGTGCTGAAGATGTGCACACATTTTAATTGTAGCGGCTAGAAGGGATCAGATAGTTCCACCTGTCGTTTCAGAAAGGAGCAGCAGTAGATAGGAAAAGTGACTTGCCCCAAAACCCATGTATCAGGTCACAGTGACAGCAGAGGTGGGACGGAGGCCTTCTGCTTCTGGATTACATGGTGTTTCTGAGGTATGGACCTCGAGCGCTGTTTGGAGGGCCTGGTGGGGAGCGCAGCTACTCGAGCACCCTTGGCTGAGGAAGAGGTCTCCTCTGTGGTGGGCGGTGTCCTCTCCTACCACCCACCACAGCTTCGAGGGCCGCATGTGGGTCAGTGAAGGAGGAGGGGACCCCATCCGGCAGACGGGACTAGGGGGATCAGCCCCGGAGAGCAGTGGGGTGACAGGTGTCACAGCAGCCTGCATGCACGTCCTTGTTGAGTGTGTACCTGAAGCTTATTTCTGGGCCTGTCCAACCTCCACACAGCCCACACTGGGGACATTTCTTATTCTTTATCATTTCTTTTTTTTTTTTGCGGCTTTCATTGAGTTTATTGGTACATTTTAGGGATGCAGTACAGTTACATTCGTTGTTGGGATCTTGTACCTCTACATGACAGGTCTTGGTTCTCATTTTTTCCCCTTACCTCTGCCCTCCCTTCACCCCCTCCTCCCCTCCCCATCTACAAACACTTTATTTTCACCTTTTCATTCTCTCACAGTTTTTTCTTTTCCCTTTTTACTCTTCCCCTACCCATTAGGACAAGAAGCGGGGGAAGCACAGATACAGTTGTTGAACCTTGTTTGTTTGTTTGTTTTTGAACGGGGAATCAAATCTAGTGGCACCGTACTACTGAGCTACATCCCCATTCCTTTCTTTTTTATGCCACGCTGTGGGGTTGTATTTGTGTGTTTCCTGGTATGGAGTAGTGATGTTCGTTTTGGGACTGGTGCGCGCGTGTAACCTGTCTTGACCATTTCGATCCGTGCTCTCCTCTCCCTTCCCTCGCGGGCCCCTCCTCCGTCTCTGAAGTCTGCCTTCTGGTTTCCTCCCCTGCCTTTCCTCCCTTTCTTCCTTCCTTTGTATTTTGTTTCACATAGAAGAGAAGCCATGCAATATTTAACTTTGTTTCTGATGTACTTTGTTTAGCATGATAGTCTCAAGTTCCGTTTTCCTTCCAAAGATGTAATTTTATTCTTTATGACCAAATAATATTCCATCGTATGTATATGCCAGTTTTCTTTTATTTTTTGTAACCTTTTTTTTTTGGTACTGGGGATCGAACTCAGGACCTTGTGCTTGTGAGGCAGGCGGCGGCACCGCTGAGCTAAATCTCTGGCCCTTTACCATTTATTTTTTGATGGACATCTAAGCTGTTTTCTTTTCAGAGAGCGTGAACTGAGCTGCTGTGAACAGGTTTTAAAAGACGGGCTTGCTGTGCAGCTCAGGCTGGCCTTGAACTTGCTACGAAGCAACAGATCTTCCTGTTTCAACTTCCTAATGCTGGAATTGCAGATGTGAGCCACCACATCTGGCTTTTACTTTTGATCTTGAGACAGGGTCTCGCTAAGTTGCCCAGGCTGGCCTTGAACTTGCAGTCTTCCTGCTTCAACTTCCCAAGTAGCTGGGATTATAGACATGGCCAGTGCCCCATGCTTGTCCATTGAGTTTTTAAGAAATGGAGTGTATTATTTATTTCACACAGTTGAGATAGTATTTGAGTGAGCCTATTAATCTCTTCATGAGTGGTAAGGAAAAAGTTGTTTTATTGTTGATGTTTCATCACCTGTGACAATAAAATCATAGTAGACAGGTCTAATAAAAGGGTAAGCCCGAAATGATTTTTTTTAAAAAGAAGATTAGGAGCTCTACTCATGATTTTAATATTATTTTGAATATGTAGAGCATTGTTTGCAAAAAGCCTTACTTGTAGTAATAATCTATTGATAATGATTTACTTATGGAAGAGAAAAAGAGTAAAATTTTGTAGTTAAGACTTCCATTTAAGATCATTTATTATTTTCCCAGATCTTCTGTATAGGATTTAGACATTTGAATTACATTATTTTTAAGGAACTATCAACCCGTATCATGGTATTCAAAAGCAAGGTGGAGAACTGGGTCACCTGCCTTCTTGTATTACCGTTTATCACTATAAGAATCACTCAGAACAAACATTTTCCTTGAGTCTCAGAATGACACAAATATTTCAAAATTTAAATCCTAGTACATGTAGGAAGAGGAGTTTGTTATTCTTTCTCTCTTTAAGTAAGGGATATTAATTTCTCTTTTTATTAAAATTAATTTTGTTGGTGTATTTAAGGTATGCAATATGATGATGTCCATCATTGGAAATTTGCGTCTTTACGTACTCCGTCTTGGTTCTTATTTTCCCGTTCCCCCGCCTCCCTCAACCCCTCCAGCCCTTCCTGTTTACATAGACTTTGTTTGCATTTCTTCTTTTTCTCATCCCCTTCGTTCCTTTCCCCACCCTCCCACTTCCCCTTCCCCTCTGCACCTTTTCTTCCTATTTCACATTATCTATTATACCTTTTAGTCCTTATTGAAAAATGGGCATCTGAAATGAACAGACATTTCTCAAAGAAGTAGAAATAGCAAATAACCATATGAAAAAATGTTCAGTGTCACTGTTCATTCGGGAGATGCAGATGAAGACAACACTGAGATTCCACCTCACCCCAGAAAGAATGGCTGCTATCAAGAAATCAGCCAACAATAATGCTGACA